AAATACAAATAAACTAAATATATACTTAAAAGAGACAATATACTTGCAAGTATAGCTTTTCGGTTCTCGGATTTGGATTCTCGAATTAGGGTTAAAAGTGCTTTTTACTTTTTATATTACAAAGTACTTTTTTTATATTACAAAGTACTTGTTTTATCAAAAAGTACTTGTTTGATCAAACAGATTCCTATGGTTTAGGAATGGAATGAGAGAGTAAATGACATATTCCCAAATTGAGTTGGTTGAGACACATTCTTTACCTATACTTTATCATAGTAATAACGTTTACACATTATTACTAAAAAAAATTATAGAGAAGGGTGTTGAATTGGGACATAAATTAATTCATGAAGAGTAAGATGCGAAAGATGAATAAAATGAGACAATTATAGAACAAGAGAAATAGAGAGATAATTTGGTTGGAGGATTTTGAGATCAAGGGGATGAAAATGGACAATTCATGTATGTGGTGGGGAGAAGTAGGGAAAATGAAGAAAAAAAAGGACTTTAAATCCTCCCAAATAGGAGGAGTATTTTGAAGGACACCTTTGTCAATGTCCTTCCCACCTTAACCAAAAAGTCCTTCCATCCCCTGGCCTCCTTTGAACCAAACAGGGATAACTCTCAATTCCTCGGAGTTCCAAAGCAACTCCCTCCTCCTGTTCCCTCCCAACTAAAACCCTATGCAGCCGCAATTTCTCCGTGCATTTCACGCTCTCTCTCATCAATGCACCGCCCCCGCTGCCGGCCCTTTCTCAGCTCCTTCATCTGGCGCTTCCTCCGTCTCTCCCCGCCGCTATAGTTCCCGAAGGATACTCTCTTCATCTATTTCGCTCCAGCTTAGACCCTTTAAACTTTCAAGAATCACCGGTCGAGTCAAACCTATGACTTTAAACTCTTCGCCCTCCAATCACCCTGGGATTGCTGATTCGGGACTGTCCTACGATGATCTCGATCGCTTCGCCCATGTTGGTAACAAAATGGCCAACGCTGCCGGAGATGTCATTCGAAGTTACTTCCGGAAGAGCTTCGACATCCTTGACAAAGAAGATTTGAGTGAGATTATGTGATCAGTTTTTGTACAGTGAGTTCTCTTTACTTGTGATGGAACTCTGGGAGTGAATTTAGAAACTTGTTGTCTAGGTCCTGTTACTATTGCTGATCAAGCGGCTGAAGATGCAATGGTGAAGATAGTTCAGGAAAATTTCCCTTTTCATGCAATGTGTGTTTGCATATGGTTTGGAATATTGGTCTCTTAACTTTCCCTGTGAGTAGTGGTATGGTAATCTCATAAAAACAACCCTAATTACAGATATGGTGAGGAGAATGGATGGAAATCTAAAGAGGAGGTTGCTGACTTTGTCTGGGTTTTAGATCCAATAGATGGGACAAAGAGTTTTATTACTGGTACTCTCTTTCTGATTCCCTATTTGAACCATCAAAGATGAATGCCTTATAGAACTGACTATGAACTTATTCATTGTACTCAGGGAAACCCGTTTTTGGAACTCTCATAGCTTTATTGTACAGAGGCAAACCGGTATGAGTAAGAAGCTTCTAATTCAAGTTTCAAACTATTAAGATACTGAAATGCATCAGCTAGTAAATAAGCTCTTCTCTTGGCAAAACTAGAGGATTGGTATGTTCCTTATTTGCATATAGTTCCATAATGTCTTCATCTTGTGTATTTTTTGCAAGATTCTTGGGATAATTGATCAGCCTGTCTTAAGAGAAAGGTGGATCGGAGTAAGTGGGAGGTGTACTACTTTTACTGGGGAAGAAGTTCGCACACGAAGTTGTGAAAATATGTCACAAGCCTACCTGTATGTTTAGAGTATAATGTATTGGATCAACAATGAAGCTAGAGTTGGGCAATTGGCAGTGCTTTGTCACCTTTTCTTATTTTGATATTTTTTAATTCTAGTTACACAACCAGCCCACATTTTTTCTATGGAGAAGCTGAGGCTGCTTTTGCTAGAGTTAGAAATAAGGTACTTATTTCCAAGGAGTGGATATAAAATAAATAAATGAAATGTTAATTTTCTTCTCATTCCCAATATTTCAATTTCCAATCTAACATACTGTGTAGGTAAAAGTGCCACTCTATGGATGTGATTGCTATGCCTATGCGCTTTTGGCCTCTGGATTTGTAGATCTTGTTATCGAGTCTGGACTCAAGGTAAAAGTATCCCTTTAACCACGTACTATCATGCCGTATGTTGATGCTATAAATCTACTGTCTTCAATAATATCATTATGGGGTACTTGTACTGTTTATTATTACCATTTCCTCGAGTTTATTATTAATATCACCCCAATGTAGTGGTTCATAAATGCTGTAGCTGGTTGACTCCTTTAGATAAATGAATACCTTGTTTGTTTTTTCATATTAATTGAAAGCAGAAAAGCACTTGAAACAACATTGATTCCTTTAGGTACTCATCATGTGAACTTTTAGTTGGACTTGTGAGAGAGTTGAATGCATCCACTAAAGATATTGTATGCCTATGCTTGGAACCAGAAAACAGTTGGAATCAAGGTAGTCAAAGTCGTGAGGCGCACTCAAGGTGATGGGGTAATTCCAGCGCCTGAGGCACAAGGCGCAAAAAAGCGCTCACCTGACTCATGTCAGGTGCATTGCTTAGAAAATATCACACATACTATTCTCCAATGATTAAGCTGATGTACATAACACCATATTGAACCAACTACATTAAAAAGTCATGGTTTGATCAAATAAAATCATATTTCACCATAATAAAGTCACTATTAACCAAAATAAAGTATATATACAGCAACCTATGACACAAAAAATGGACTGGTAGTATGTATACATGATAAAAAAATGGTAGTTTGGTAGTATGGACTGGTAGTATGTATACATGGTCAAAAAAGGGTAGTTTGGTAGTATGTTCTATATAGTATGTATACCGGTAGAGTGGTAGTATGTACTTCACCAAGAAGTAGCTGGTAGTTTACATCTACATTTTCATTAATCATTTTCATTTACCCCAGTGCCGCAAAGGCTCCCACCTATGGTGGGGTAAGGGGGGGTCGGATGTACGCAGTCTTACCCCTGTACTAAAGCACAGAGAGACTGTTTCTGGATGACCCATAGTGAAAATCCCGTCCAAATTGCATGGACTGTCTGCTTCTTCATAACAAAGAAGCGCAGACAGTTTAGTGAGCCATTTTGCTTTATTCCATCATAATCTCAAGCCAAAAAATAATGAATCTTTGGCTCCATTGCAAATGATGGATAGTAGTTTACATATACATGGTGAAAAAATATACTGGTAGTTTACATGGTGAAAAAATATACTGAAAAATGAAAAAAGAAATAAAATGGAATGAGTGGAAGATGAAGAAGAAGAAAGTTTACTTTCAACGTTGAGTGCTACACTGCTGCAAGCTTTGTGGTTGATGTGGAGGGACAGGAGCAGGTAGCGAACGGGTAACAGCCATAGAGCGCATAGCAGGAGGAGGTTTACGTTATGTGTTTAGCGTAGGTTACGTCTTTTTTACCTTATTTGCATTGGCTTTATTAAAAATATGGGCTTCTTAATGGTCTTATTTGAACGCACATGTGAAACAGCCTCAGTAAACTTAAAATAAACGCTTCCCCTGGCAGACGCAATGGGCGAGCGCTTAAAACGACTACTGCGGTTCTGCGCTTTGTGCGCCCAACCTGCGCTTGAGAGGGGATGGTGCGACTGGGCTTGTGTAGGGCGCTGGAGGCCTCTGGCGCTGCGCCTGGTGCGCTTAAGCGCTTAGGCGCACGACTTTGACAACCTTGGTTGGAATAGAAAAAAGTTGTAAAGGAAAATAGTTCTTTATGCTTGGTTGCCTGGGAAGATCACTTCTCATTAGAGCATTACAGATTTTACATAAATTCAGATCTATAAATCTATATATAATTGAAATATAAAAAACGAGTTCGAAGAATATCTAAAATGTATTGTTCAAGTTTGAACCTTTCGATTAATTGAGTTTTTGTAACCATTTTATTGATTGAGTTTGTACCTTTCCCCTGAAGTTTTCTTTCCTTCCAAATTTACCTAACATTTTCTTATTTCCCTAACATTTCCTGGGTATCTAAACGGACACCATGTGTTTCAGCCATATGATTTCCTTGCACTGATACCAGTTGTAGAAGGTGCTGGTGGAGTTATCACAGACTGGAAAGGGAACCAACTTAGTTGGGAAGCTTCCTTGGGGTCACCTGCCACAAGTATGATGACTCCCATATCAACTTATTACTCTTTATGTATTCATATGTTTTGTATCGTTACTCGTAATGGGTGCCATTTTATTTTTTGCTCATCAGGTTTCAACGTGGTAGCAGCTGGGGACAACCGAGTCCATCAACAAGCACTGGACTCTTTACAGTGGCATTGAAGGAGTAGATGCTGGTTTTCAAACTAAACCGATCTCATATTTAGCTAATTAAGTTATTTACCAAGAATTTCTCCTTTTTCGTGGCCTTAACTTTTGTATCTAATCTTATTCATCATTAGATCAGACGTGTTTTATTAATAGTCTTATGCTACACAAAATCATTCTGAGCCATGGATATTATGGGAAGTGGAAGTGATATTTTTTCCGAGACAATTAGAGACCTCTTAGCCTCTTTGTGGAGGTCAATGTGTAGGCCTGGACTTGGTCTTATTCCAAATCGCTCAGCCCCAGGCTGGGGGGAGTGGAATTGAAGAGGTGGAAGAAAAACAATAGAAAAAATGATGTTAGGACCAAAACTGGTTTGACCCTATTTGAAATAATCTGAGTAATTCCAGAACCCGTCAATAGGGAAATAAGGACTAAAATTGTTTAAAAGTATAGCCGTAAATCCCAACTTGATTGGAATCAGATCAAAACCAATGGTCGTAGTCCTAGAAATCGTAGGTGCATAACTAATGGTTTTAGTTAGTGTTTAATTTCTTTCCGAAATTAAGCGCCCTTTAAAATTTTCTCTTTGCAATATTATAAGCATTCCATAAGTATGGGTTAGCTTGATCAATGTATATAAGACCGTGAGAAAAAATAGGAATGGTGAACGAGAATCACCCCCAGAAAAGTGGGAATAATCCCAATCCATAATCCATATGGGATCCTAGCGCAAGCATACATTCATCTAAAAAAGAAGAGGTTTAAATAGGGAGGGTAAGGGATCATTAATCCCCCTTTTCTCTCTTCCATTGTTGGGCAAATGCCCTTAAACTCTTCCCGTTGACTGAAAAGATGGAAAAGGGTATCTCATCATTTTCGGATTGATGGCTACCCTTACGGTTCTGTTATTCCTCGTGGTTTTTGTCATCCATGCCAATGCACAACAATCATCTTTAGTTCTTCCGGCGACATCTTCCTCCTTTGAACCATTCATCCCTAAAGACAACTTCCTCCTCGACTGCGGCTCCAACACCTCCACCACCGTCCCCGGAAACAGAACCTTCCAGCCTGACAACTCCACAACTGAATACCTCTCTTATGACGGTGCCGACATTCAGGTCTCCCTCAAATCCGCTAATGTCTCTCCGATCTACCGCACCGCGAGGGTGTTCGCGAAGAATGCCACGTACACTTTTCCCGTCTCCTCCTTGGGCTGGCATTGGATCCGCCTTCATTTCCACGCCCTCAACACCACCTTGTACGACCTCAGGACCGCGAGGTTCTCGGTGGAGACGGACCGTGTAGTCCTCCTCCACCAATTTGAGCTCCAAAATAACACCAGCGTGATCATGAAGGAGTTTTTGGTCAATGTGACCACGGAGGAGCGTTATGCATTGAGGTTCAAGCCTAAGGGGAATGTGGCATTCGTTAACGCCATAGAGTTTGTTTCGGCGCCGGAGGGGCTGATCGGGGATTACGCCACCCTCCTATCTCCTACTTCCCAGCGATTTGAGCTTTTGAACAACAACCTTCAGGTTCTTTATAGGCTCAACGTGGGGGGCCCACTTATCGGATCACAAAATGACACGTTGGGAAGAAGGTGGGACCCGGACCAGGGTTACCTTGACCCGAAGGGAATGGGTAAGGTTTTTTCTGTTTCAGCGGGGGCGGTCTCATATCCAATAGGTGGCGGCCGCGGTGGAAACGGCAGCTCACCGTTGATTGCTCCGCCCTTGGTTTATTCGTCAGCAGCCGAGCTTGCCGACTCCAAAGTCGTGCAACCTAATTTCAACATTACCTGGAAACTCGACGTCAACGTCCATTTTTCCTACCTGATTCGCCTCCATTTTTGCGACATCGTTAGCAAGTCTCTGAATGAACTGTACTTCAATGTGTACATTAATGACGATATCGCTATTTCCGGCCTCGATCTGTCGACGTTGACGAGAAAGCTGGCGACGGCTTTCTACAAGGACATCGTCGTGAATTCCACGAACGTTTCGAGTCCCCTCCAAATAAAAGTTTCTCCGGTAGATGAAGCTCAGGGGATAAGAAACGCCATTCTCAACGGTCTCGAGGTGTTTAAGTTGAACAATTCCGTCGGGAGCTTGGGCGGAGAATACGGCGTTGACGGAGAGATAGCAGTGGAGGACGGTAGCGTCAGCAGCCATCAAACGGTGGCAACTGTCGGATTCGCTATGATGTTCGGTGCGTTCCTAGGGTTAGGAGCAGTCGCTGTGAAATGGCGAAAAAGGCCCCAGGAATGGCGGGGGAAGAACAGCTTCTCTTTGTGGCTTCTTCCAGTCCATACGGGAGACACAGCTTTCCCAATCACCAAGACTCCTCCGGGATCCAAGCAGCGCCAATCGGCTGAGTTTGGCAGACACTTCTCTCTCGTTGAATTGCAAGAAGCAACCAACAATTGGGAGACCAGTAGAATCATAGGGATTGGAGGATTTGGCAGTGTATATCTAGGAGAAATCAATAATAGAATGAAAGTTGCTGTAAAACGGGGGAATCCAGAGTCTCAACAAGGCATCCATGAATTCCATACTGAAATCCAAATGCTGTCTAAACTCAGACACAGGCATCTGGTGTCTCTTATTGGATATTGTGACGAAAACAAGGAGATGATTCTAGTTTATGAGTATATGGCAAACGGACCATTGCGAAACCACCTTTACGGGAAGGGACTCATTCAGGCCCTTCCTTGGAAACAAAGGCTCGAGATCTGTATAGGGGCAGCCAGGGGACTCCATTACCTCCACACGGGTGCATCTCAGGTGATCATCCACCGGGATGTCAAGAGCACAAATATCTTACTTGATGAAAACTTTGTGGCAAAGATGGCCGATTTTGGCCTCTCCAAAAGCACATCATCTTCTGGGACCGACTCGGATCAGACTCACATCAGTACAGCCGTTAAGGGTAGTTTTGGTTACCTTGACCCAGAGTACTTTCGGAAACAACAGCTCACAGAGAAGTCGGACGTGTACTCCTTCGGAGTGGTTCTTCTAGAAGCATTGTGCGCACGGCCTGCCATTGACCCACAGATGCCGATGGACCAGATGAACTTGGCTGAGTGGGCCATGAATAGGAAGAGAAAGGGGATGTTGGAGAGGATCATTGATCCGAGCCTTGTTGGTCAAATCAACCTGGAGTCGATAAAGAAATTTGCGGGAGCAGCTGAGAAATGCTTGGCTGAGTATGGTGCTGATAGGCCTAGTATGGGAGATGTGCTGTGGAATCTGGAATATGCATTGCAGCTTCAAGAGGCTTCTTCATCGCAAGGAAGGGCAGAGGATGAAAACAAGTCGTTTGCAGCTCCAAATTCCCCTGCCGTGCTTTCTCCAGCTAACTGTGATGCCCGCTCTGAGTATGATTTAGATAGCTAAAAACAGTTAGGCTATGTAGTAGTTTCAAGCCAGCAGATGATTCTTTGTATATATTAGAAGTTAGAACTGATCCCCAACTGTCTGACCATTAGTTACTTCGTTAGTTTTATAGTGCAACGTCTTTGACCTTATTTTATTATGAGCTAACCCTTTGGTAAGATATTTTTTTGTATGTTTTTTCTTTATTGGTTTTGTTTCCTTTTCTGAAAACAAAATCCCCGAAATGTGTTATTATAATGATACATATTCATAGTAACCACAATTATTCACTTATTCAGTTATTATAATCATGTTAATTTGAAAGATTTGCTCCAACATAATTGCCAATTCAATCTTCTAATCCTAACTACAGCCATTCTACAGTTAGCATTATATATCAAGAAATTCTAGAATTAGCAGCAAGATGATAAATTTAATGTAAATTTTTAATGAGTAGAAGAATACAATTTCACGTTTAAAATTATTCAATACTACCTCCGTCCCAGTCGACTTTGTCAAGTGCAAAGTAGGTGAGAAATAAGAATAGTAAAAACTGTGTGGTTAAGATTTGAGCGGAGGAGAGAGAAATGTGCAGAACCACAAATTAGTTGCTTTAATAGGAAAGTAACAAAGTTTTTTGGGACAGCCAAAAAAGGAAAGTTGGCAAAGTCCGATGGAACGGAGGGAGTATTAGCTAAATGAGTAGTTTTGTAGTTTTTCTAATATGCATTATATTGTTGAGGTATTGTATTATGGAAAACTATATGCTGATATCATACTTCCTGGGGCTAGAGATTTCACTTGTAAATTGCCTGTTATGGATAAACAATGACCTCGCAAGGATACTCTATGTCTCTATCATGACCCTTTCATATTTATCTATATAATATTTCACACCTATTTACATAAGCACATATTGAAACATTTAAGTGACAATCCTATTTTGCTGACAAGCATGGGAGATAGTAAGGTACAACACATCTGTTATCTAAAAGAGAATCCATAACAATGAAGAAATAATTATCTTCTCCGCGCATGTGTAATAGGCAAGTCATATATGACATGCCAGTTCAGTAGAAGCACAGGAAGGTTTTGGAAATTTGTATTTGCAGCATTTTCCTTTTTGCTTGGAAATACTAAAATTGTACGGGGTAATACTTTTTTGGATTCATAGAAATATGTTTTTTTCATTCAAAATATTAAAAATTAGCACAAAATAAACTAAAGCACTGTTTGAATCCCCCTGAAAACATGTTTCTGATTGTCATTGTTTACAAAATATTTACAAGCAGATAAACATATATAACGAATACCTTTTTTGCATATACTCTATTCTATTAATAGTACAGGTTGAATAGTTCTATAAACCCTGATTGTGAGTCAGAACACATGAGATCCACTATTATGTGGCAAACAATGACCAGATCACCAGAGGTATACATGGTTATTGCTGTTACCACTTCCTATCTCAATGATATTGATATGTAAATAATGTACTACCTCTGTCCCGTTGAAAGGTTCCCATAGCAAAACGACACGATTATTTAGACAATAATTAAATAAAGTACTCGGAGTATATTTTGAGAAATAATTTTAATATGTATATATTATAATGTAGTTAGTATTGATAACTGTGATGTTATAAATGAATAATTTTTAGTATTTAATGATTAATTTGTCACTTAAGATTGTTAATTGTTTCCTAAAATGAAAATGGGAACCTTCTAACGGGACGTCCAAAAAGGAAAGTGGGAACCTTCTAATGAGACGGAGGAAGTAATTACAAATTATGCACCCAAAGCGAATTTCAGAGCAATCACTTCTCTACATATAGGAGGCCTGAACAAAAATGCAAGCAGTTGACTTTGTGACAAAGACATTAAAACATACAGTCCGTAGTATTAGAATCTGAATTTCCTTTACACAGCCAGGAGTATACACTTTTCATTTTTTCAAGGTAGTTTGCTTGAAATATGTTAAAATGAGATTAGGAACAAAATCTGATGAACCCTGAGGTATAAAACCATCCATAAGAATTAAAAGGTACATCTCCTAAAGATCAATTTTAGGTGTCAAAAAACTAGAAAGCCCAATCACTACTTTCCTCCTATTTAAGATACAAAGGACCGAATTGGATGTTCATATATTCACCCTCAGCTTCTTGCTACCATCAGAATTCTCATCAGGCACGACAAACCCATCCCCGTCATCATCAAGCACTTCCACATTTCTCTCACCCTTTTCACTGCAATTGCCTGTCAACTTCCTTTTCTTTCCGGAAGGAAGAATTTTCAAGTCATCGTCATCAGCCTCATTGGTTTCCAGAGGTACAGCAGTTTGACTTGTGGATGAGCTTGCACCATTGCCAAGTGGTGTCTCAGTTTCATTTTTGGTGGTCAAAGGTGGTGTCCATCCAGATAGAATCATGCCATCAGGTTCCTTCTCCTCATCAAACTCTTCCCTTAAATATTGAAAGAGAAAATATCACTACAGTAGGAAATATCAAGATTGAAAATTATGTAGAGACAAGAGTCGTAGATAAAGCTAATTTAAATAAGTAAATAAAACATCACTCCTTAGGGTCTATTTGGAACAAAGAGTGCCAAAGAATGAATTAAACGGGAAATTTATTGGAAAAATATAAAAAATTGGCTCAAAGATAATTAAATAAGTTTTAGATATTTGTTCAAAGTCGTTATTTCTTTATACTATTATTCCATAAAGGCTGATTGTTATTTTGTGTATTACAGAGAGGTAAGTAATCTAAACACATGTACCATTTTAAAACTATTTAATCACGTTTTAGTTCTCTTCATATTTTCCATGGCTAATTTAAGTGCAACACAAAATCCATTTATTATAGAGAAAAATAATTAAAATACCCCAAACTTTGAAGGGGTGTGAGATAAACACCCCAAACTAACATATGTATTTTAATTACCCCAAACTTTATATAAAAAGTTATTTTGGCACCATAATCAAGTATTATTTTTTTCAAAAATGTAAATTTATGGTGTTAATTGCGTAATTTAAAAATATTTTAGAATTCATGAAGACACAATTAACATTATAAACTTCCATTGCGAAATAAATAATGTTACACCCAATCTATATAATTGCTACACTTTTAATTTGCTATTTTAAATTATGCAACCAACCCCATAAATTTACATTTTTGAAAGAAATAATACATGATAATGGTGCGAAAATAACTATTTATATAAAGTTTGGGGTATTTAAATTACATACACAAGTTTGGGGTGTTTATTTCACACCTCATCAAAGTTTGGGGTATTTTTATTATGTTTCCCTTTATCATAACATTAAACATTTTTGCTTCCCTTTCCCCTACCACTTTCAAGGTTTCAAACTAAAACCTTAAGGGGTAAAATGAGACTGAATATGTTTTTACAAAGACAACGATAATGCCTTTTACAATTGTTCAATCCACTAGAGTACGTATTATACCACAAGTAATACAAAAATGAAAAATCATATAATGAGCAACAAAAGCACCACAAACCTATGCATTATATTGATCTTGCAGGTAAGCTCCTGTTGAAGATCCTCAACTGTAACACTGGAACCGCCAGTAATGGGAGATGGAAGCTCACATAGCACCTAAGAAAAAAATGAGATAGAACCATTCAACTATGAAGGAACATAAAGAGAAATGAAGAGAAATGAAGTAAAAAACGGTCATACTTTGTCGAGGTTTGCAGTGTAGTTAGCAACCATGTCTTCCTCAAGATCATCTCCCACTTCATAAAGAAGTGCTGCTCCTAGCATTATCAGAGGCAAATTCATCCCAAGTTTTGCTCTTACAATCTTTTCAACGAAATCCCTCAACTTCGTGGAGTGAGTGTTGACCTCCAGTGTTAAAGGTGTCTGTTAAAAGACGAGATTAATCAAAGTGAACTTAAAAAACAAATTCACCAGTAACATTCTATAAACAAATAAACAAAACAAGGACTGCATGCTTGAATATGAAGTTTGTACCTCAGAACACACATAGCAGGATTTGTTGGGCTCAAATGGCTCAATTGGCATAAGAATCATCTTTCTGGAAGGATGTTCAAGACAATAGGTCATCCTGCATATATTAGAACAGCAGCACTTAAGAAGCAATACTGTTATGGCACAAAACTAACAGTCTAGCGGATCTGGAAAGGATAGGCAAAGTTTGTTTTACTGAAAATGCAATCACTGCATCAGTTGAATGTCCTTACATGAAAAGCGCTTTTTCACATCCATTTCAATAAAACAAATCAAAAGTTACTAACTCTGCTGATAATCAGGATACTAGAATAAGACCATTATGGCTACCAGAAGCAGCATAAACTAGTTGAACTCATGTACGAAGTATACTAGGCAATGTTTTCTTACTGAATAAAGAAAGAGTAAAAATTAACATTAACTTTGGAACATGATCCAATGAATCACTTACCAAAATACAACTTAAGATATTTGATATACATACCGATAGTTCTTCAGATCATTTTGCAGCACCTTAATTGCCTCGATCACAATCAACCCAGAAATAATAGCATTTGTTGTAGCAACAGCATGCACAATATTCCCAGCAATACCTTTAGTTTCAAAAAGGCTATGTGACGGGATACCAAATGATGTTGCCCTAATATTAGCAGCAGCAGTTATAAATTCCACAGCTAATTGATCATCTTTGTCAAAATTCAAGTTACCAATATCCTGAAGAGATTGGATAGAGGCTAATAATGATAAGCATGCACTGCATAACTAAGTGAATGCCAAACTACTGCAAATTTATTTACAAAAGAAAAAACATTAAAAACTGAGGGTTCATGTCAAACCTTCACCCTTTCTGAGTAAAAAAGCTTTAGTGCTTCTAGAAATACTAAAGTGTTTTCTTTCAGGCTCCAAAGCTCCTGAGGATTTTTAAGGCCCAGTTGAGTCATTGCAGAAACTGAAGAGGGATGATTTGTTTTAGAATTTCTATTTCCATTTCCATTCAGCTGAATCTCTTCAGATGAAAATACATCTTTAATGTGTATAGGCCGAGGCTTGTTGCGATTCTTCCATGTTTCTTCATTCGACAGTGCAACCTCAATGTTATAACCAAAAACATGATCATATATTCTCCTCCCATAATCTTCTATTTCTTCTCCTTCTCTACGTTCAAAAACATCATTTGCATTTTCTGATGAACTAGAAGCATCATTAGAATGGACATTTAGATCATTTGCCTGATTCTGGTCTCCAAAAAGCTTTGCAAAAAGAAGGTCTTTTGCCCATACAA